TTCTTTTTTTACTATCATAGCATGAAGATATTTTACTCTGTTAATATATAAATGCCGTTTTTCATCTTTATAGATTTACTTTGCATCTTTTCACTTAATGTTCTGTTGTTTAGATTTATTTTTTATCCTTTCATACTGTGTTGCTGAACAGCTTAGGACACCTCTCTATAGATTATATTCGTTCTTTCCTTTTCCTGTTCTTTTCTATCTTCTTTCACTAATAATCATGCTTATCATAAGTTAATGTAACAGTAGTTGACCGATTTGGTTTCGATTTTTTTTGCTGTAATGATAATCTCAGTAGCATTATAGAAGTGCTGAAAAACATCTAAGGTTGCTGAAGCCACTGCAACCAGAGAGCTAATAATACCCCAAATTTAAGCACCAAACAAGGTTTGAAAACAGGGTGTCATTTTGCAAGTTTTTGGGTATGTGGGGTGTGTTTGCTAGAACTAAACGTTACACATTGTCACAACTGTTCTAAAAAACTGACTTCCCTGTCCCTGGTTTTGTTGCAGGTCTGGCTTATATTTTTTGCCAGAATGTTCTTGCTTAAATATATGGGGATGTGGAGACGTAAACAGAAATGCTGTTTTCCTGTATTAGATGATAATTTTTTGATATTTAAGAGTAGAGCATATCTCAGTGACTGATGATTTTATTCAGGTTAAAATGGCAATTCTTTTTGCTCTTTCTATCCAAAAGTCAAACTGGAACCAAGCGTTAGGAGTTCGAGATTCTTTTAAAAGCCAGTTAGTATTTTTATGTGCAATATAGACAGAAATTCCAGATAGCAGGTAGAAGAGTTAATCTCTAAACATACTGGGTGCCTTGAAACTCTTCTGAATCAAGAGCTTAGTACCTGTCTGGATTTTAGAGACAGATATTATTGTAATAATCCCTTCCTGAGTTTTTTTCCACCTAGAGTACATCATTTTGCCATTTGCTTATTCCAGTTTCAGAGACTTTTAAGAATTCAGATCATACATAAATATATACTTATCTACTTGGATGCCTCTCTGCATTGAGTATGCAGTATGACTTCAAAACACTTTGAAATTTTGAGCCTCAAAGATTTTCTTTAGCAATTACTGTCCTGAAGCCATGTATCCAATTAACTGGGAAGTGTTATATGTGAAAACTTTTTTACATCAAGAGGGTGGTCTGATTATTCATCATAATGCCTCTTATATACCAAATTTTCATTCCAAGATGTTGGATCTTTGTATTTTATTTTCCATTTAGTTTCCTTCATCTGTAGTTTAGGATTGTTTTCCTCTATCTTTGTATCCAAAAGATATGGGAGATGATCATGCTTAAAAACTTGCCTAGCAGCAGCTTATAGTTGCAGTTTCAAGCTAAGTATACACCTCAAGTAGCCCATGGATTTGAGAGCTTGGTCATGAAAATAGTTTATAGTTATGGTCTCACGGCCATAGTTTATAGCTGTGTCTGAAGAGTAAGATTTTTAGTTAAGTATTAATGCAGAAGCGATAATAAATTGCAAAATAGTGGTGAGAGCTGTTGACCATTTCTAAACAATGTTAAAAATTCTTCTGCCCCTTTTTCTACTGGTATTTGCTTTCTGCCCCTGCAGAGACTAGTGCCAGTTTGTGAATACCTAGTCATTTTGGCAGTAATGCCATGCTGGGTTACTGAAATCTGTCATTGCTGCCCTTAAGTACAGGAACATAGTAACAGAAGTGAACCTGTGACAGTGACTAATGAAATACTGAAAGCAGAGGAGAGACACTTCTATCGATAGTAAACAAAAGTGGGAGGGAAGCATAGAAGAGCTCTCATTTCAAATTCTCTGTTTATAAATACTGCAGCTATAATACTGGACAGAGTATGTTCTGCGTACATTCTTTGACATTTTTATCATTTTTCTGAATTTTTTTCAGACTTTTGGATAGAAAATTTGGACTTGCTGATTCCAGATACTTTTTTTTTTTTCCTAAATGGAGACTTTTTTCAAGTATTTTCTTTTTCTTTGTGGCGTTAAGAAGGGAGTCACTTTAGCATTAGGAGTCACTTTAGCATTAGTTTAGATCCTACGTGGAAGGATTTGAGGATAAAATAGCATAACAAAAGAGTATGTCTGTCTGTCATGATCTCAATGAATGAAAGTATTGAGAAAATATATCAGTATTTTTTTGGGAGAGGAGGAGGAATGATTTAAGAAACTAACTGCAGAATCAGAAGTTAAATAGCAGAACTGTGGTGGAACCATGCTGTATGTGTTTTTTTTTCATTCCTGAGCAGAATGCCATTGATTGAGACTACTTTATTTACCAGAATGTCTCAGGTTTCTGAATCCTGAATTTTGGTGAATATTCATTCCATAAATAAGATAAAAAGTAATCTTGGAAAAGAAAGTTTGATATTCTTTTAAGATTTTATAAATTCAGAAAGTAAAATCACCTCAGACTCACTGTTTTGTGCATGCCTAAATGTTAGTATTTATCTTGGAATTCAGATAAATGAGGTTTTATTTCAATATTTTAGCAGTTCATTTTCCATGCAAGTCTTACATCATTTTCTCTGTTATCAGTCGCTACATTTTCACTAAAGCTTCTTGACAGCTAAAAAGAACCACCTGCAGAGTTACTTTGAATCTGTCCTTATTTTTCAAAAATAACTAGTAATGTCCCTTTTATTTAAAAGGAGACTTTTTTACAATCTATAAATTGTGGTTTTATTAAAGCAAGAAGCTTTAGCCACTGATCACCAGTGACCAGGCTTTAGCCCGGTCACCAGTGGGGTTCCCCAGGGCTCAGTGCTGGGTCCGGTTCTGTTTAACGTCTTTATCAATGACCTGGATGAGGGGATTGAATGTACCCTCAGTAAGTTTGCGGACGACACCAAGCTGGGAGGCTGTGTCGATCTGCTCGAGGGTAGGGAGGCCCTTCAGAGGGATTTGAACAGACTGGATCGTTGGGCTGGGGCCAATGGCATGAGCTTTAATAAGGCCAAGTGCAGAGTCCTTCACTTGGGGTGTAAAAACCCCAAGCATCGCTATAGGCTCGGGGAAGAGTGGCTGGAGAGCTGCCTGGCGGAGAAGGACCTGGGGGTGTTGGTTGACTACCGGCTTGATATGAGCCAGCAGTGTGCCCAGGTGGCCAAAAAGGCCAATGGGGTACTGGCATGTATCAAGAATAGTGTAACCAGCAGGAACAGGGAAGTGATCCTGCCCCTGTACTCGGCACTGGTGAGGCCGCACCTGGAATATTGTGTCCAGTTTTGGGCCTCTCGCTTTAAGAGAGATATTGAGCTCCTGGAGCGAGTCCAGAGAAGGGCGACTAAACTGGTCAAGGGGCTGGAAAATAAAACTTATGAGGAGCGGCTGAGGGAGTTGGGGCTGTTTAGCCTGGAGAAGAGGAGGCTGAGGGGAGACCTGATTACGGCCTACAAGTACTTGAGAAGGGATGGTGGGGAGGTGGGGGAAGGGCTCTTTACATTAGTGTTGGGTGATAGAACAAGAGGAAATGGGTATAAGCTTAGTCAGGGGAGATTCAGGTTGGATGTTAGAAAGAATTTCCTCTCTGAAAGGGTTGTCAGCCACTGGAATAGGCTGCCCAGGGAGGTGGTTGAGTCCCCATCCCTGAATGTGTTTAAGAAAAGGGTGGATATACTGCTTAGGGACATGGTTTAATGGGGGATTAGGGATGGTTGGACTGAATGATCTCTAAGGTCTTTTCCAACCTAGAAATTCTATGATTCTATGATTTCAGCAAAAAGTAAAATTGAGTGATTTTCTAAAATGAGAATACACCTTTTTTTTGGGTTATCTTGCCAGAAAGCTAAAAAAATCAATAATCTTACAGTTATCCCACTGATACCTCACTGATATCCATTCCATTCTCAGCTTTGTTTTTCTTTTTTTTCCTTATGTTCATGCTTTCTGTTATTTTACAGGATTAATTGGAATCATATTGAACCTGAATTTTTAAGGTCACTGTATTAAAAACAAGCTAATTCTTAGCTTCTGTATTCACTACATTGCCTTGTAGCCTTTTCTGCAGATGCCTGTACACTTGAACACATGCTGTTTCTTAAAAGAGCTCTAAGAATGGTCTGTCTTGAAGCTGGATACCTGTTACTTTAATGGCATCTATTACTGTGGTCTGAAAAGAAAAAAAACCCTGACTTCTCTGGGCATAGTTGCTCATGCAAGGCTGTATTGCCTCATCCCCTCCACTCACTATCCATCTGAGCCAAATGAGCAGTTTACTTGATAGTTAGCTAGGATTTTAAGAGGGAAGAGAACAGTACAAATAGCTGTTAATGTTTGGGTTTTTTTCATTGTGTGCGAAGGTGTAGTAGTAACATATCAGTTTTCTGTGGTATGTAATGCTTATTCCCAGTTTTGTGTTGTATGCTCCATGCTTAGGAGCACAAAAAAAAAAATCATATAGCAAAACCCTGTATAAAAACAGGCCTATATTGCAGCACCTTTCAGTTGCAGTAAGCACATTATTTTCCTTCCTGTTCTTCCTGCTGCTTTCTGTGGTGGAGGTGCCACTTAAATGTGAATCCGGAGAGTGAAATGAGAGAATCACTTCCAAATTTTTGTAAGAAACAAGCCACATCTTGGGAAAACTAGTTATACAGAGGTTCTTTTTTTTTATTATTTCTAAAGAGCTTCCTGGTATGGGGTGGCTGTTCATGTTAGTCTATACTAAATACTGGAGAGGCTTTCTGTTTCTTCCCCTCAATTTCCGCACTCTAGGAATATTTCTGTTATTGCTGCATATTCTAATACTAAATGTGTAAAATTTTCGGGTTCCTAATTTGAACAGTTTGCTGGCATTTTATGTTATGCCTTCATAATATTTTATTTCTAATTACTGAAAAGTGAATGTTTAAACATAGTGCTTCACAGAACTGCGTTTTCTGCCCAATTATTCTTAAATATTCACAAATAATAGTATACTGCTAGGCTTGATGTACATACTAAGTTGAATACTGATTGTTTCTTGGTATTTTTCTATTATTAGATGACACTTCAGCTCCAGAGCTGCCTCAGATGACCATCTCTGGTCAGCTGGTCGTTTCTGGCCAGACGATGTTGACTGATGAAACTCTTTCAGCTGTCTCGAAGTCTAGCAAGAGTGCTGTAAAAAACAGTGACATAGAAACAGCAAACCTGTCTCCTAGCCTGATTCCTGCACAGCAGCCCACAATATCATTAATAACAGATGACAATACAGATGCGCTAAGCGTAGAGTCGCTTACACTGGTGCCACCAGTTGATCCACACACCATTCGAACATTCAGCTGCATTCCTCAGTCATCTTTGCAATCTGAAGTTGAAGTTGGCAAGGTAAAAGAGGTAGAGAAGAAGTCAGAAGAATGTTCTGACTAAAGCCAGCCTGCAGACTGTGACGAACAGTGAAGCAAATGCAATCAAATTCTTCATTGTTTTTCCTTTGGGAGTGCAGATACTTCTTGAAGCCTGAGAGGCCATTTGGTCTGCAAGAAGAGGCCCACTGATGAAAGAGAACGTGGGCAGCTTTTAGAGTGAACATGAGATGCTCAGCATATTTAAACTGGAGAAGGAAAAAAAAAAAGCAAACAAAACACAACAACTTTTGAATCTGAACTGGTGGTTTCCTACCAATTTCTGTTATACAAGAACGTTAAAGTATTTCAGAGCACCTCCTTTTTTTCTATTACAGAGTTCCAGCTGCAGGAACTAAGTTAATTGTAGAAGGTCTACAGTATTATGGCAAAGTGAAGAAATGTTTGGATACCTGGCTTCAGGATGTCGTATCATTACTTCTCTGAACCTGGAGAGACCATTGGCCAGAAAAAAATTGTATGTTGTAGTATAGAGATAACATTTCCATTTGAGACATGGTGTGGTTTTCAGTTGGTTAGTTGTTTTGTTTTGTTTTTAAATCCTGATCTCATTCATCTTTTGGAGGTCTGCATGATACCAGCAGGCTTAGCCACTTTCAATGTTGTCTTCATAGGAATGTGGACTTCAATGTTGTGTTTTCCATGTGTAATAATTTATTTCAAGGTTTGATTCAAAGCAAGATATATATCAAACAAATTTTTAAAAGGTAGAAGCCTGAAATTTAGTGACAAATGCTTATTCAAAGTAACATAAGGGATTTTTGAGACTAATTTAGTCTTTGCTTAACGAGCTACAGAGGAATGTGAAATATTTTAAGAGATTGCTATAGCTTGTTTGTTCGCTTCCGACAGTCAAATTGCTACACCTCTGAGGAATGATGATATCCTTTCTACTGAAGGGCAACTTCTAGAAGTAGACAGAAACAGTTTTACTCTAAAGTGGTTTTTTAAATTTTTCATGTTCGTGTAGGAAGAAGGTCATCACATCTAACTGATAATTCCTTTGCAAGTCTGAAATTCAAAAGGAAAGGTATTGTGTAGGTTTTTTTTCCTGTCTGGGATAGTATCACAGTTAAACAACATTGGTACATAAAAGTGATTCTGAGTTTATGCTTACCTTACTTTTCTTCCTAGATCCTGGTACTAAGTTGACAGAAAGTAGTGGAAAAGTGTTGTTAAAGTTTGGAATGTTCTTTGCTGATTTGATACACAATTTAACATGAATGGAATTTAAGATTTCTCATCAATTTCCACATCTGTTACTTTAAATTAATAGTAAAATGAGCAGATTGTCATTATTTGTCTGCACATAACATGGAGTGCTTTCTGGCTCTCAAAAATTGAAGATTACTATTCACTTGGTATTGTGATTTCAGTCATCAGTGCAGTCTGTTTCCTTATTCTGTCTTCTGTACTAATATTTTTTTCATGTCAGGTAGGTGAATCTGAAAAGTTTTTACCTACTTCTCAATCTCTTATTGTACCTCTCGTCTGCCAGATGGAATACTTGAACTGATTTTAAACGCTATAATTATATGAGATTGAATAATCTGCAAGTATAACTTTGTTCACTTTTTCCATCTTTTCCTTCATGTAATAACTTAATCTTTGTAAAATGTTCATACAAAGTGTCTGCTATTGAATGCTAGCGATTTTTTTTCTTTATTAGCTTTTGCATGCAGTTTTGTTGATTTCTAGCTTTCTGTGGCTTCAACTTTGTCTCAAATTGAATTAACCAATATTCTGACCATTCCAGAGTGACCCAAACTGTAAATGAATTCTGAGAGTTAGGAGTCCTCAGCACTGCTATGGATATGGGATGAGAATTTGGCATTGCTGAAGTAAGAGCTTACCTTTTTTTGGGGTCATATGCATAGGGTGAGTTCACACTGCAGTCGCGCTAATGTACATGTACCCGAACAAGCCTAGACATCAGTAGCAATTTGGGCACAAGGACCACACAAATTTTTATTACCTGAACTGATTGCAGTCTAGACTTCCTCTAGTATGTTGTAGCATTACACTGTAGCCCCAGTAATGTTCTGAAGATCATTATTAAAAGTGATGCCTTACTTAATTTGAAAGCATTTTATGTTAGTTGTTAACCTTAACTCTTGACCTAGATTATACAAAATCCTACTGTACAGGCTGATTTCCCTCAAACAGGATTAATTTTAGACAGGAAAACCCTGATCTTTATTTATCTAATTTCAAATTATTCAAATACTTAGGCTCATGCGCAAGGAGTCTTTTTAATGAGTATGCATAATTGCACCCTTGAGCCATATTGCACAAGAAATGGGACAAACGGAAAGAAAGCTGACTGTGCTTCTCATTGCCTTTGAGTGGCTGTTAAATCTCATGACCAGTTGTCTACTGAGAGCTTCACAGGAAATGACTGATAGATGCTATTATTAGGAAAATAGAAGACTAGGTCTACTGTCTAGCCTGTTGCTGACAGAGTCTTGCTGTTCAAGGGGTGATGAGGTGCAATATCTCTCAGTTCTATCAAAAGCTCTCTGCAAAGATGGAATTACACTAGGAAAGCTCTGACTGCACCAGCTCTACCAATGATGTGGTGTTACAGAAATGCTACAACTGGTACAGACCAACCTAAATCTCTGCATAGTTATGCCACAAAAGCAATTGATTTTTTGACTTTTTTGCTTCTATTATTAAGACATATGTGTATACAATTTGACTATGCTTCATGCTGCATTAGGAGACTTCAGAATGTGAAAGCTGTGGAGATGCTGAAAAAAATCTGTCATCAGCAATCTTTTATCTCTGCAAGTATGGTGTTACTCATCTACAATTCCTTGAAGAGTATCGGATCTATCTCCCTTATCAGAAAAACTCAAGGGCTGTTTCATTATCCCCCTTTCACTGTAAAAAAGGAAACTCAACCAAGAAAGCATTAGCACGTCAGCCACAAATGTAATATTTTTCTAAACAAAAGTTGATTTGAGTCAGTTTAACATCACCCTTTTTAACCAAATCCAAATCCCAAGTTGCAAATGAGAGCAGCAGCTAAACTACTGATGTTCAAAAGGCTCCCTATTTCAGTGTAATACTACAGAGAGGTCATTGAATCACTCTGAAATAAATGTAGTGATGTTCCGGAGCAAAATGCTAAAATTTTGAAGATGCTAAATTCTGTTTGTTTGTAGAGGTTATGCCTATCTTCAGCCATATTCTGTTAACATAAAACAGTTCTATTATTCTCTTCCTTTTAAGAAGAGAAACCAAAGAAACCAAAGCATACTGAATGTTACTTTGCTATTTTATAGTCTATATGTCTCATTTTATGAATTTTGACGAAGATATTACTTGTTTAACAGAACTATATGTTGCCTTCACTGTTAGATCTCACTGCCTCTTGCTCGTCCCCTTTGTTTTTCTGTCATCCAGTGTGCAACAATGAACAAGACTCAAGCTTTTCATTTGTGGAGAGAGTCATGGCAGCATACACTTGGTAATTTGGTAAAGAACAGGAGGGAGGAAACAGTAGTGCCCAATTCTGATGTCTGCTTCACCATGGAAGTAATGCTTCCAGTGTAAAACCTGTGTGCAAAAACTAACTGTTTTGCAGAAATTCTTTGACATAGAAAGAAACCGAAGGCTAATCTTTCTGCACTTCATTTTATGAGCTGTGTGCATTAAACCATTTTCATTGGAAATGTAGTCACATACATTAATTGTGTGTGAAGTCATGGATTATATACAACATAAGGACCAAGCTCATTTGTGTTCTCCAGTGCTAATTCATGATAAACTAAAATTCTTATTTCTCTTCCTTAAATTAAGCTGATCTTAAAAAAAAAAAAAGATAGAAAATTACACCTGTTAAAGAAGCTCCTCAATGTTCTTCACTTTACAACACAGTTGGAATTTTCCTTGAAGTCACTTGGTGAGGAAAAATTTGGAATGCCTTCCAGAATTCATGTACTCTTTTGCGATATTGTTTCTAAAGGACAGGTATGTGACATTTGAAATTTTTTTTCCATATCCAGAATTTAAGACTCAAATCTAGATCGGTATTCAGAGTTTAAGTCAATGTCCAGTGTTTCATATGAACCATTTACCCAATAGAGACAAAATACAAGGGGAAATAATGTTCATTTGTGAATTTGAAGTATTCTTGTGTGTAGAATTTTAAAACTGATGGTTAAAATAGTTCATTTGTAGCAAAATCGACATTATTTAGGATTGAAGTTACTGAGTTTTGTTTTGTTTGGTTTTTTTCCTAATTAAGCAGTAAGACATGAGTGACTATAATTTCCACACTTAATTGCAAGTGGCCTGGGATCGTTTCTTTAAGCAATCTAGGAATTCAATTGCGCTGCAATTGAGTGTCATTTTACTAGTAGTGAATTAAACTTAAAACTGTATGCTTGAAGGCATGGGTAAGCTATCAGACAAGCAGGTCAAACTGTATGCATAAGTACAAAGCCACTTCATAAAAGTAAACACTTGAATCACATGATACTCGGTGCTGTAGTGTAATCAGTTTCTCTTTGGTGCATGTTATAGGTAAATAACTACAAAATAGCCTAATGAATAGTTTCACTAACCTGCATGTAGTACTCTTCAAACAAAAAAAAAACCAAGAACAAAAAAAAAAATCAACCCACCATGCTAAACATTCTGATGTTGTGTTCACTAACCAGCTAAACGGGTAATTTATTTTAAGAGGACATTGTACAGGCAGCTGTCATCTAGGAAACTTAAGTGTTTTAGTCCTATAGTTAAATTGAAAATTTGCAGAGATACATCAAATGCAGACATCAGCGAGATCTTGGTGTTTTGCCTCAAAGATAATGAGCCTCCTTGATAAGTCTCCTACTTATTTTCAGGCAACCTAGTGTTAGGCATCTAAATATGTGTCAAAAATTCTCTTCCTAACTGTTACTGTCATTCTTCTTGAAAGAGATTTTTGGTTTATCACTGTTTAACCGTCACTGGCCTACCCTAGAGTATCACCAACCTGGGCACTGCGCTTCTGTTCTCTACAAGTCTTTCGAGTGGTTCTCC